TGACACTTTGATAGCAATTTTTGATTTGTCCATCTAGTTTTATTTCTTTGATAACATCTTGATCTATCATTCTATTATGTTGAAATGACGAGTCTAGATATCTAAGTTGTTTTTACTTTGCTACTACAATCCTGTCTTGTCTCATCTGAACTTCGTTCTTCTCATTCACTCATTATGACTGAACTTGCAGTGTATGTAATCTTAAAGTAGCTTATTTGATCTAATGAAAAAGAAAATGTCTATAAGTGTCTCACATTAGAAATGTTATTAAATACATTGAAAAGAATAAAATAGGGAGATAGCGGTGTAAGACAATTTTTTCAGGCATTCACTTAGGGGTCGTTTGGTAACGGGTTAGGAGAAATATTATACATGTATTAGATCCTGCGTAAGTAATACCATGTCTGGTAGTTGGTTAGGATTGTGTATAGAATTTATGCTATGTTTAGTTTGCAATTTAGGAACCTGCATAATTAGTACATGTATAAGTTATGGGGCATCTAATGTGTAATTTTATGCAGGATAGAAGATGGAATTATTAATACATGAATAACTAAACTTTGCTTATACATAAGTTTTCTCATAACTGATTCATTTATCACTTATACCTGCAAAAGCCTAGCCAGCTACCAAATGACCCCTTAATTGTTTTCCTTGTCTTGTTTGTCCATGGCATTAAAACTTTGGTGAAAATTCACTTTATGTACATTTATCAGAAATGTCGGCAAGAATCTTGCCACCGTGCAATTTTTCGTTGATTGTGAGTGATTCTTAAGGTGCATTGTGTTTTGTGACCACAACTTCTCAATTAGCATGAACCAGAGGCTCGAGGTACACAGTTATGCCTGCACATGCATGGAATTGTTTGCGACTTTTCCAATATAATGTGCCTCTTGCGTTGGCATGTCGTTATCTACTCTTGCCGAATGTTGGTGAGTTTCTTGTCTCAATTAGAATAGATTCCTTTGTAAACGGTAAAACACGAGAAAAATATTACTTCCTTCGTCTCATTTTATGTAGCACCGTTTGACTTGGCACAATGTTTAAGAAAAAAGGGAAGACTTTTGAAACTTGTGGTCTGAAACAATCCTTAGATGTTTGTGTGGTTGAAAATCATTTCATCAAGGGTAAAATGATTATTTTAAAGTTAAATTGTTTCTAATTATAGTAAGCTGGCATTCTTTATGGGACTGACTAAAAAGGAAAGGGTGCCACATAAAATGGGAAGGAGGGAGTATTAAGATGCAAATCACATGATTACAACAACTCCTCTTTATAGTTGTACTCTATCGTACATAATAATCCCTTTCCATACGGGACAATATATACATTAGTATTCTAACCCCTCACCCCTTCAAACTGGTGCATATAAGTCATATATACCAAATTTGTTGTAAATGTAACTAATACGTGGATTAGTGAGAGACTTGACTTGATGAAATTATCTACAAGCTAATTATTTGACGTCACAAACTTTGTAACATCTATGAGAATATCATCTTTTATATGATGAAGTGATAGTCCATTCAATTTGCGTAGTGCTCTCATGGAACACCGGATTTGACACTCTATGAATGACAACTTGATTATCATTCACAAGTTCCATCTGGCTGATTTTCAGTTCCCTTAGCAACTTTTTAATCCAAACTAGCTCACATGTTGCCTTAGCCATTGCTTGATATTCTACTTTTGCATTAGATCGAGCAACCATGCTTTATTTCTTGATTTTCTAAGTCACCAAATTACCTCCTACTAAAACACAATATCTTGACGTAGAAGGTCTATTAGAAGTTGAAGTTGCCAAATCAGCACTTGTGTATCCAAGGATTTGTTCATGATTTCGATCCTCGAATAATAGTCCTTTGCACGGGGCTGATTGTAAGTACTAAAGAATGCAAACAACTGCATCCCGATGACCATCACTAGGAGAATCAATAAACTGGCATACAACACTCACGAGAAATGAAATATGTGAGGTCTAATTGTTGTGAGATAATTCAACTTAACTATAGTTGCCAATATCTTATAGGATCCCTTAAATGATGGAAACTTGAACTCCGGGTCCAAATGAATGTTAATGGGTCTACACGCCATTAATGTCTCCTCAAGAATTTCTAAAACATACTTCATTGTAAAATAACAATACTTGATCTAGACTGTGTGGCCTCAATACACGGAAATAACTTTGTTATGCCTAAATCTTTAGTTTGGAAGTGTTGAAAGAGATGTTGCTTTAGATTATACTAATGAAGAATAACAAAAGTCCTATATGGTTAATGAGATGGGTGAATTTCTTATAAGACTTGGACAATCCTCCTCCCTTTGAAATAGCTTATGTGGTGTGAGTTAAGCCTAAGACCTAATTTTATATGGTATTAGAGTAGGACCCGTCTACCCAATGTTGGAACCCCAAAATTAAAATTGCCCACGCAACAGATGCTAAGCACGGGGTGTGAGGTTGGGTGTTGAAGAATGACAAAATTCCCACATTAGTGGTTAATGAGATGAGTGAATTCCTTATAAGGTTTGTGCAATCCTCCCTCCTTTGAGCTAGCTTTTGGGATGTGAGTTAGGCCTAAGACCTAAATTTACAGATACTCTTAAGTAATTGCCCCATAGATCCTATATTCTAAACATTAACCACCAAATAAATACACAAATTGGGAGTCGAAGGTGGATAAAACACAGAGTGATCAACTTCACTATGAGTCATGCTAAGCTCATGAATAATTATGTTGAACTTACCAAACCTGGCTCGTGGAGAATGTTTAAGACCTTAAAATGATCTGTGCAATCGGACATGCAAAACCAATACTAGACTCCCCTGTGCAACAAAATCAATGTGGTTGCTCCATATAAACCTCAAAATTGCACTATAGAACGGATATAGAAATTGTGACTCTTTTTCTTTTCTTTCATGGAAAGAATTTGAGTAGATGAATATAGACATACATTTGGTGAAAAACACAACATACCTAGTGTGGGCTATGGTACCACAAGTAAGGTCTCGAGAGGATAGATGCTCACAGGTGTTAACCTACTTTTGTGGAGTTGAGATGTTTCTGATAGACCCTCGGTTCAAAAACACATAATGAAAATTCAAAATCATCTCAAAACAAAATAAACCGACCTTTTTCAACTTCATTTTGTGAGCCTCAAACAATAGCCTGAATTAAAAACTCTCTAGAGCTTGAGTTTTTTTTTTCTTGTCTTCGGTATCTGTTCCAATATTTCTTCTGCTTTTTATATGGGTTCTTGATGCACCCCTTGCTTCCTGCATTTGGATTGCTTTTATGGATTTTATCGCCCTATTTATGTTCTCCATCATCATCCTCTTGAAGACTACATATAACAGCCAACTATTTGCTCTGTCATCGAAATTGAGGATTGCAATTGAATCTGATATATATATCCACATAACTTTTGAGTTTGTGAAAACCTCCAATCTCTGGTCGTCACGTAAAATGCATTTTCTTTCTGCTTTTAGGACCTCAAGTGCATAATTTATTTGTCTCACTCCATGCAAACCTTGTATTTGACAAAGTTAACTTTTTCAGTTTGCATGGCGACTCGAAGAACACTAAGAGGAAAGGTGAAGAATTTGCTCATGGAGTTAACATCATTCAGGTGTTCCAGGATAGCATACAATTTGTATTCCATCTATTTGAGAATGTTGATTCTGTAAGTAGATTACACATAAATGTGATTCAAGAAAAGTGTGTTAGTATCCCACATTGGGAGACGTATTATGTGTATCTAAAAGGATTCAAGCATATAACACATTGTCTTCGTTTTTAACTCTCAATAAAAGGATTCAAGCATAGCACATTGTCTTTGTTACTTACTCTCAACCTACTTTTCTGTTTATCTTATTTCTCACAGTAAGAATATCAGTGGATCATGTTTATGTAAAAAATCAATTTCATATTCAAAATGATGATTTGAATCAACTCGAGAAGATTGTATGAAAAGAATGGTGTTGTTGTTATTGTGTTGTCTGGCGACTGGCAGATACAATAATGTTTTCTCCAAGTTAGTTCTTAGTTTAATAATTGTAACTAAAGTAGCATACTTAGTTAACCCAGAATATTTGAAAGCTAAAATATCAGTTTATTCGTAGTAGAGAGATAATGCCTCTTCTAATACTTGGTCTAGTCAAATATATTAATTTTTAGTTTAAAATTTTAAAGATTGCAGGTCTGAATTCACGATTTTAACTCTCAAAATTCAAATTGTGCCACATAAATGTAACAAAATATTAGTTTTGCATGAGAATACATTGTATATCTTTCTCTTCACGTTTAAGTTTGTTCCTCCACTTACTTTCTTATGTTTCATTTTGGAGTTGGTTCAATAATTTCAACTATCACCACCTCCCACTTATTCTACACATAGGTCATCTATGAAGTTATAGTTAATGTGCATGGAATTTATCATCTAGTCGTTGGTATTTTGTGTTTTCACTGAAAATTCAATTTTACCAAATTCATTTCGAAAACAATGGAGGAATCGTTAAAGCATTCATATAGGTCGAATCAATGAAATAAAATAGTTATCTCGATGATCCAATAGTTTAAGTATTTTTTTACATTATCATTAGTGCAAAGAATATAAACCATATGTAATATATCAGAACTTTTTGAAATTAAGTGGACCTTTGACAACTTTCTGGACAAATAGTTAAAATAAAACTAATGAGAATTAAGCATTTTGACTAATAATGAATCACAAAGTGGATTTATGTATTCTGAGAAGTAAAGCAAAGATCTCAACAAAAAAATAAAGTTTAATCTTACACTTAAAGTAGGGATATGTAGAAAAATTGCAACAGCTTTTATCTACTTACAAGCCAAGCAATATAATACCTCCACTAAATCCTCCAATTTTCACCACTAAATACACCTCATATAAATATTAATACTATGGTTTTCACTTGATTTATCCAAAATCATAGGCAAAGAAGCAAAAAATAAACACAAAACACTAAGAATTAAGCCATCATGGTTAAGACAAATACAAAAATAATCTTCATTTTGTTTTTTGTTTTCCTATTGGAGTCTCTTGGAAGTGCACATGATGGTGGGAAGATAAATATTCTTGAAGAAGAAATTTTGTCAGATTTTGATGACATATTTTATAATGAAGATGAAGATGAAGATGAAATATTTGATGTATGGAGAAATGGTAGAGGCAATAAAAATCTTGTTAATGTTGATACTTGTGGTGCAGTTGGTGATGGAACTTCAGATGACACTAAGGTGATGAATTGATATGTTTTTAGCTTTTGGTAAAAATGATTTATGGTAATTATATGCGCTAACGATATAATGACTTTTTACGTTATCAGTATATTTTAACATGTTATACATATAGTAGGTATTAGGTAATACATGTCTTATTTTCAAGATTACTAATATAGCTTACTTTGATCGGTGATTATTTGTAGTCATATGGTTTATGGTACCGAATTCATATGGACTTAGTACTTTTGGTGTGGAGTATAAATTTACGTGTAATTTTTTTTTCTAAAATTGCAATAAATAGTCATAAATGGTAAATAACTTTAATTTTGTAATGTTGTATATTACAAATGCCAAAATTAATAGTTAATATAATTTTAATCTTGAGAACATTGCTCATTGTATAATCAACTGCTATACAAATGGAAAATATAGTGTGTATACGACTCTAATATATAATTTATGCAATTGTGGTCTATAGTGCTCAGATCCTTAATAAATAATACATTTTTGATGGATTCGAACATGAGTGTGAACATTTTTTTGGAGGATCCGAACAATATAAGTTACACCTTTTTTCACTTTCTAAAATTGGTATTATTATTTCAGGCATTTGAAGATGCATGGAAAGAAGCTTGTTCAAAACGAAGATCAGTTTTTATGGTCCCTTCAGGACGCACTTATCTAGTAAATGCAACCAAGTTCAATGGACCTTGTGCTAACGGATTGATCATCCAGGTTACTATCCGATTAATTTCATATGATCACTGAATTTTATTTACTATAACAGTAATTAAAGTCACAAAATTATGTTATAACAGGTTGATGGAACCATAGTAGCACCAAGTGATCCAGAAAATTGGGATCCAAAGAGTCCCAAAGCTTGGCTTGTGTTTTCCAATTTGACAGGAGTTACATTTCAAGGAAATGGAATTATTGATGGATCAGGCAGCAAATGGTGGGAAGCATCATGCAAGAAGAATAAGTCCAATGTAACATAACATAACACATTATTTCCTTTTAACTTTTTACGCGAATCTAGGATTGATTCTGCATGTTAAACTGAACTCATTGATTTCTGCTTGACTATGTATACACATAATGTTAAAAAGGGACGACATAGGAATGATAATACAACATGAACGATAGTTGTCTCAATGAACTGACAATCTTCTTGGAATCTATGTAGACTTAGTAAAAGGTCTATATAGGCGATACAAATTAGTTGGGAATACGTTTTAGTTATGTTAGTACATTTATTTTGTTTTTTTGCATACTATTGGCACGAGTTGAGCTACAATGAAGCAACATAGTCAATGATGATTCATATACAGACTCCAACTTATTTGGAATTGAGACGTAGTTGTTATATACATATAATATGATCACACTCATTTGGAATTCAATGACTCTAGCTCCTAGATTCGCCTCTATTGATATACAACTATTTTTAGGTGATGTTCTAACTTATGTATTTTTTTTTTGTTGTTGTTGTTGATAACAGGCTTGCAAATCAGCACCAAGAGTAAGTACATTATTGTTATATTCTTTACTCTTTCTTTTATTATTACTCTTAACCTCTTAATCAACTTATAATGAGAAATTAACTTCAAATTTCAGGCATTAACCATAGATTTAAGCTCAGGTATAAGGGTGAAAGGACTTACATTCCAGAATAGCCAACAGATGCATTTTGTAATTTCACGATCAAATTCTGTACGCGTAAATGGTGTCAAGGTTTCTTCTCCTGGAGATAGTCCTAATACTGATGGAATTCATATAAGTGAATCAACAAATGTTGTACTCCAAGACTGCAAAATTGGGACAGGTATATATTTGTGACTCTTTCACTATATGCTATGTTGCTCGTTCTTTTCAAAAATATTGTCAATGTGTGTCAGATCGTTCAAAAGTGGTGCATTTTTGGAGGATCCGGCATGAATGTTGCAGCATTTTTGAAGAGTCCGAGCAACATAACCTATATGTCATGTTATTTATGTTCTTTATTACTACTTTTGCAATTTTAAAAGTTTTACTAATATGATTTACTTGCATTGTGTAATGGAGATTCTCAATTTTCATGATGTGTGTTTTATGGTAAAAAAATGAATATGATTTAACTTGTTTTTGATGTATATGTAGGTGATGATTGTATATCAATTGTAAATGCTAGTTCCAATATCAAGATGAAGAATATCTACTGTGGTCCTGGCCATGGAATCAGGTAGTCTATTATACACGTGTTCGCGTATTCAGCTATTTTGAAAAATCTCAATAAAACATGTTCTCAAAAATGATTTTCCGCTGCTGAACATTGATTTGCTTGTGGACAAGACCATTGTGAAATAATGTATTGTTATATTTGAAAACGCCTTGGTGTGATTCATCCTAAGTAGTATGTTTTCTATACTAATTTTGTTACATGATTAATCCTTGTCTAGCATTGGGAGCCTTGGTAAAGACGATTCCATCGGTGTAGTGAACAGAGTAGTTCTGGATACAGCATTCCTCAAAGGTACCACAAATGGCCTCAGAATCAAAACATGGCAGGTAATTACACAAAAAATGTAATGCCTTGTTCATATTGCATTTAAATTGAAAAAAAAACTGATGTGAAGGTCTTAATGTTCATAGGGAGGATCAGGTTATGTTCGAACAGTTCGATTCCAAAATGTACAAATGGAAGATGTTTCGAACCCAATCATTATAGATCAATTCTATTGCGACTCACAAAAGCCTTGTCAAAATCAGGTACTCCCTCTGTTTCAACGTGTTTGTCTTACTTTCCTTTTGAGTCTGTTTCAAAAAGAATGTCTCTCAACTTGAAAGAGAAGTATGACAAAATGTGTGTTGTTTATTTTGACATTACAGACATCTGCAGTAGAGATAAGTGAAGTACTCTATCGTAACGTTAGTGGAACAACAAAGAGCAAAAAGGCGATGAAATTCGCGTGTAGTGACACTGTGCCTTGTAGCCATATTACTCTGGACAATGTTAACTTAGAGGCAAGAGATGGCACTGCTGAAGTATACTGTAACTCTGCCACGGGAATTATAGCTGGTTATGTTCATCCAGAAGCAGAGTGTCTTAACTCAAATGACAAGAAAAATGAGCAGAAAATTGAAGAATGTAATGTTCATGATGAACTATGATTTAGGTTCATTTGTCTTCAATCTATAATGAATATTGAAGCATATATTTTGATGGTTACAAAGCAAATAGTATTGTAAGTATTCATTTCTGTTATCTCAGATTTTGAGATTCCTAGCTTAGATATAAGCTAGATAAATATTGTTTTTTTTTAACTAAGGATGCCTTTGAGGCTAATGTTTTTATGTAATATATATATACTTCTACTTATTGGAGTTATTATGTTTGTATTAAAGTTTATTGATTGGGAAGTTCTATATGTAACACCTCGCTTTTTGAAAGAACTAGAAAGAGCTAGAATTAGAAAGAGTTGTTTTTGGAAAGAATAAAAAGAAAATCTGGAAAATTTAAGTATGTTCAGTTTGAGTTTTTCGTCAACTTCAAACGACCATAACTCCTAGCTCAGGATGATTTAGGTGTGTTTCCAGATATTGTAGGAAAGATCTTGGAATAATCTTTCCAACGCCACTGAGTTTGCGCGATTCCGAGTTTGTATAAGTGAGATATGCTCATTTGAAGTTGGGTTGTTCAAATAAGGAAAGTCTAACCCGGATTTTAGAAGGGCATTATGGTCTTTTCCATACCCCATGACTTAATTTCGTTTTTGGTAATTAATTGGGGTCTAAACTGATAGGATTTAGTTTATGCTTTTACAATATTGAGTTGGGGTTTTAGAGAAGAGAAAAAGAAGAGGAGAAGGAGCAAAAATCGTCAAGATCTTCAAGAATCGCTTATGGATTTCGTCAAGGGGTGATCCCTACGAGGTATGTGAGTTCACACAACGTTGGGTTCGTTCACCCATGCGCCAAACATGTTTAATTCAACATGAATTCGTCCTAAAAGTTGAAAGTTTGAATGTTCTTGATGTGTGTTCTTGAATTTACTTTCGTTCTTGAATTGGGCTGAATTGAGGTCTAATCATAAGGGTAATATTTTATCATGGTGTCGGATCCTGAGATCTTTACGTCGAGTTTTAGAGTTGTTTTGAGTTAGGTTCTTGGGTACATATGTTGGGTATCTGAATCTAAAGAGAACTTGAGAAAAAATAGTCGAGTTTAGGTGAATTGAGACTGAAAAGCGAAGAAGAAAAAAGTCGGGCAAATCTGGGCAGTGGGGCCGTGCGGACCTGCTCCTCAGATTTGGGAAAAGTTTCTTCGCAGAGCGGAGCGATCACGGACCGTTCTGCCTCAAAATTTTATTTCGCGATCAAATAATTAAATGTATCTCCGCGTCGCGGACCTACTTTTAGACAGTGATTTCTTGATATTTTCTCATGTTTAGCTATCTAAAAACACTCCTAAACATCATGAGATCTATCCTATCACAAATCATAATCCTTGAATCCATAATTCAATTCAAGGAAAATTAAGAGTCAAGTCAAGAGAAGTTAAGAGTCAAGTCAAGAGAAGTTCATAGAATCTTCCAAAAGTCTTTTTCAAATGTTTCAACTTTGTTTTAAGACTTGAGTTTTGAGTTGAGTAAAGAGTAAAGTTTGAAGTTCATTTCTTCAAAAGAGTATATATCGGGACTATGTATTCCTAAAGAGTAAAATGTTTTTACATTTAAAGAAGAAAGAAAACCTTGATTTCCAAAAGAGCCTTTGAGCTAGTTTTCAGTTAAAGAGTAAATGTTTTCACATTTGAGCAAGAAAGGGAACATCAATTCCAAGAGAGCTTTTAAGCTAACTTTTGAGTAATTATCTTAAACCAAAGAAATAAGTTATGTTTTTAAACATATGATCTGAGTATTTTGGGAGTAGTATTGAGCACCGATATGGGGACGAGTTTGAGTTCAGATAACTCACGTCTCCATAAACCATGTAGCCATCATGGGTAGTAAAGGATCATACTTTTTAGATGACTCCTTAAGTGCTTTTTAGCATAGACTAGTGGATCCACTTAGTTAAGGCATTCTATATGACGGCAAAGTATAGGACAATTCTGGCAGCGTGGGCAAGACGATGTATTACCACTTAGGCTCATAGTGGTGGTTGTCGGTTAGAGAAACTCCCATAGAAACTATATTACTTTAGTATATGATTAAAGTTGAGTTTGTTGTTGCATTTTCTTTAACGAACTAAGTTGTTTTCTACTGTCTTAAAGGCTTTCTGTATATTGCATGTGTTTTATTGCTTTATATTGAGTTAAGTTGTTCATGAGTTGAGTAAAATCAAGGTAAGTGTTTCTTTCAGTTCCTTTCAAGCTTATGTCTTGTTTTAGATTTCCCCTCGCATACTCGTACATTCAATGTACTGATGCCATTTGGCTTGCATCTTTTAATGATGCAGACACAGGTAACCAGTATCAACATCCAGCGCATCGTTGATTCTAGTTGAGCTCCAGAGTTTGTTAGTGAGCCTCCTTTCTTCCGGAAGATCCCTGTTTATTACTTTTCAGTATTTAGTTCATTAGGATGTCGTGGGTCCTGTCCCGACATCCATCTCAGTTATTAGAGGCTTTATAGATAGACAGTCAGTAGTTCAGTTGTCTTTATATTATTATTTCATATGTTAAGACTTGAGTTGCCATTTTGGCCAAGTTGAATGTTTGACCTTTAAACGTTCTAAGTTATTTTATTAAACAAGTTAAGTAGAAGTGCATTTGATCATTGTAATAATGCTTAGAGTCTTCTCCTGAGTAAGTAAGTCAGGCCAATGGTTCGCTTAGGGCCATCAATGGTTCTCGAGTGCAGTCCAGCCCAGGGTGTAGGCTCGGGACATGACACTGTAATTGACCATTCTATGTTTATTTGTCATTTTTTCGTGTACTCAATGAATAAAACTCATTTGACTTTAAGAAGGTCAAGATTGACACTAATGACTTAATGGTAAGGGGATGTCCCGCCTCGAACCATTTCCATTCCTTGTCAAAAAGAAAACAAAAGGCGACATAGTTGTGAACTTCAGGTACATATGACTGAATTTTAGATATGTTTGCTTGAACTTTAGGTACATATTATTGAAGTTTAACCATTGTTACTTGGAGTTTAAACATATATGGTTGAGGTCAAATATGATACATATTTAGTCATTTTCTCATAAACTTCCGCTACATATGGTTGAAGTATAGACATTTATTCTAGAAGTTCATAAGAATAAACTTTTACATAGAAATAACAACTTATTATATCAAATCTCAACAATGAAACATACGATTCAAGCCTAAATCTACTCTTGATAAGCTCATATTTGAAATACAAGTTCTAAATATTATAAAAAACAAAATTCAATCGTCGATTTGTCAAAACAATAACAAATCTAACAAAATCATTTAACGACAATGCCAATTTACCAATATTTTCAAGTTTTCTCAATAACACCACTTCATTTAAAATTAACTTTTCATAAAAGGGACAACACAACACATATTTTTGTTAGTTTTTAGCTACAAATTAAATAATTTTTATAATTAAGTACTACAAATTAAATAGTGTGTTTTACCCAATCCAATCCTTATATGGCTAGAAGTGGGCTGGCCCATTAATAATAATTGCTCTTTCGTCTCGTCTCCTCACTTTGTTCCTCCAGCAATTAGGGTTTTGGATTTTGCTTCTTGTAGAATTGCTCCGAAGTCGAGAAGCTTCGGATTCAGTCAATTTTCTGCTCAATTTCTATCATCATGGCAAATCGTACGTACAATTTTCCTTTTATGATTCTTTACGAGGAATTTTTTTGGGTACAATATGTGTAGTTAGCGATTAACCTGTTCAATTTATTGATGCAGCTACAGGAAGGTCGTTTTTGCAAGTGGCAGCTACAGAGGAGGCTGTTGCGCCGCCACTCAGAGTTGTTCAGATTGAAGGACTGGTACTACGCACTACTATCTATCTATCTATCTCTTTTTTGTTTTTAATATCTGTGCTGTCCGGGTCAGCTTACATGTGATTCCTGGGGTATGGGGTGCCTGCTACCTCCCATTGTGCTAACGGGTAACTTTGTCCACCAAGGTTTGGACAGATGTGAAAAGATCACTCTGTGTTTTTCTTTGTGGGAATTGAACCTGATACGTGATAGTTCCCAGCACACTTTATTGACCTGTAGGTTTCACCTATAGGTGCACTATCTCTTCTTTTTTTTTTAAAAAAAGATTTGTTTTTGTTTATGTGTATTTAGTTTGTGGAATCATAGATTAAGAAGTTGAGAGTTCAATTGAAGCTCAAGAGCTACCTAGTTAGGTTCAGTGATAATCCCAGAAATCCAACTCAAAAGTAGAAACAAAAGGAAAAGAACTGAGTGATCTCTTGCCCTAAAGGGAGTGGCTTGCAGTCTTCTTGACAGCTAAGTTTTGAATCCCAGAACAAAGAATAATAGGTGAATTGCTTACCTCTGCCTAAACTTTTGGTTGGTGGAGTTACTGTTTTCTCCCTGATGGGAGGTAGCATGTACCCTGTGCGTTAGCTTGCTCTTACTAATTTCACTGATGCTAACTGAATCTAGCTACCATAACTTCCTGCTAATTGCCTAACTATAACTGCGTATTAGCTCTTGTATTCCCCAACCTTTGTCTTTGATATGTTGACCTTCCTCCTGTTCTTTCCTCCATATTCTTTTAGATTCTTTTTTCTAGTTATTTATGCATCTATACCATCCTTATTGTTTGCCCTTTGTCAACGAGAATGACCATTTGTCAAGAATACTTTTCGTCTAAACCATGAGTTGTGCAATCAATCCTCAATGTCAATTGCTGCATTACCTTTAACCTTGGTGGTCTCCTACAAAATTATGTAGATAATATCTTTGCAAGGATCAAACAAATTATGCCCCACATGCATACATTGCACCCACATAGTTGATAGAATAGTATGGAGCAAGATTGTGGGGATTAGCTTGCTGCACCTACTTGGCCATACTTGTCTGATATCGATTGTTTCTAACAGCATCATTGTGAAAGTTCGTTAGTAGCCTAGTAGAGGTTCAGTAGTATCCCGGGCATGCAAAATTCTTCCCTCTACTGATGTTAGCTTCTGCATCTTCTTCTATTGAGAGAGGTGGAACATCAAATCTTTTCCTTTTGATTTAAGTGGATATGCTATTTTGGACAAACCACAAGGCATGGTAGGACATGTAAAAAGGGATCAAAGGAGTAATATTAATATATACCCTTAACATTGTATACAATGTTCCAAGAGATGTGACATTGCACAGGAAT